AAAGGATGGTTGTGTTCAAGGTCTACTGTGTCTCTCCTTTCCCTTAGTTCTCTGTCAAGACGGTCAATGTTATCGTCGAAAAGGAGGTTCTGGTTGCCTTTTGATCGAGTTTGCATACAGTACCTGGATCAAGAAGACAACAAGAAAAACACAAAGTGAGTGACTAAAGTGAAAATTGAAATAGAACTTGATCTAAGCAAGTCTGAAATCTTAAATGTAACAAACAAACACCCAAATGGCAACGGCGCCAAATTGATAGTAGGATTTTTAACTAAGATCAATTATCCTTAAAGTACTATCATGTCATTGTAGTATGTTAAGGTGTCAATCCAAATGGGTGTGATGCTAGCAATCAAGATGCAATCAGATATCACAGAGTCAAGCCAAGCAATAACAGGTTTTGGTGTTTCTAACAGTCCTAGGTGATCATGCAAAACAGAAATTCTAACAGAAACAGGCAATATACTCGATCACACAGCTTGACACCAAGCACTGGGTGTGGTCGAGTATCAGGTCGAGTAACTTAACAGAAACTGTAAACAGGGTACTCGACTGCACAGTTTGTTACCAAACTACTGGGTGTGGTCGAGTACTTCAAATGAAACAGGGTAGGAAATGATAAAACTGAGCAACAAGTAACAAGATCAAGCAATCAAAAGCGATGTAAACAAAGAAATCAATTGGAAGAGAAATTCCCGAGGATGGGGTAATCGAGTAGTGAAGTCTCCTTAATCTACAGGTGGTTAATCATGCTCAACAAACTATCCCTAGACAACAAGTTCAATAACCAAATCAAAGTGCTACCGCAACAGAGATCCTCAAGCAAAGCTAGTCCCAGACTCAATCACCATTGACGAGAGCTAACCTAACAGGCATTACGAATCAACAAGTCTAAGCCAAAACGCTCCCTGTAACCAATACCTTGGTACAGAGCCACGAATCTCTGGAATTAGTGGTTCAGACATTTCATCGAACACCTTGTGGGTGCGGAAATGTCTGGGCTCAAATTCCAGTTGATCAGAAAGAAATTAGCATTAAGAACAACTAATCCAGAAGGGATCTACCAATCAAACTCAACCACCTAGCAGATCAAGGATTCTAAGCTACTCTAACCCATCCTCAAGAACCCTAATCACTACTCAAAATTCATCACCAAGAACACAAACCCAGAAATGCATAAAAACTTCATATTAGCAAGATCTCAACAAGATGAACAACTTTGTAGAAGAAATCAAAAGCAAATACTCAATAGATTAAGAGAAATCTGGATTACAAATATGAAGAAAGCACTAATTGTTCTCCAGAATAAAACTTAGTACTGAAAATTATGAGAAACAACCTATTTATAGCAAATACTAGGAAACCCTAAATCACAAGACGACAAAGTATTAAGGCGGTTTACAGGGACATTCGGCTCGTGCAATCGAGTAGAGAGGTCGAGTAAAGCTGGTGCCTTTGTGGTTTCTTGATCTGGTCGTGATGCAATCGAGTACCTAGGTCGAGTGGTGAGTCGAGTAGTGCTTCATCGTCTTCTCTTCCTTATGCTCAGTGTCTGGTTGAGTTGGGATCTGAGAAGACTCTGAAGCTTGTGATCAAGTGGCTGTAGGGAGTGGAGATCGAGTGGTTCTGAGGAGAATCTGCTGGTTATGCTCGACTGCGTGCTCCACTTGGTGATGAGAAGATGTGGTCGAGTGGTTTTGCTGGAGGTTGCTGAGAGTGCTCGACTGAGTGCTCGACTGAGTGCTCATTAGTAGCTCCAAATCACCTGAAAAACAAAGAAATGTGCAATATGCATGCAAAGCTATCCTAAACATGTAAAGTGATGACAAATGATGAAGAATGGTGTGAAACAATGACGAAATGATGATAAAGTGATGCTAAATGGATGCTCAAAACAGGTAAAATATAGACATATCATTTCTCTGTCAGATACATTTGTAACTCATTGTAGCCATCTTGAGTACACCTCCAACCAACAATCTTATCGTAAATAGACTCCATCCCCTCACAATAGTCTATTTAAGATAAGATGATTGGTTTAATGTGTACTCAAGATGGTAGCAATGAGTTACAAATGTATCCAACAGAGAAACCAGAGGTCAGAACTTGGAGTGTCTTCAATGGCTAATGCGTTGCTCAGCTTGGAACTGTAATCCTCATACAGTCTCTTCAAAACAGTTGACACCTTATTATGAAGGTGCCTACTCTCTATGGTATCCTTACGAAGAGAATATTCGAGTTGGCCATGACAATATATTATTTGAGTGGGTCATGACAATAGTTAATTATATGCCTCATCTATATACTTAATATTCAATATATCCAGTTTTGACACTAACATTTCTGTTACAAAACTAACTTTTAAGTAAGTGGATATAGTTTCGTCATATACTTGATTACATTGAACATATACATCGATATTTCTACATAGACCTCGGAAATTATACTAGGGTTTTGTAGTTTAATTCAGCTAACTAGAAACTGGATATATCTATCTAATGTAGTCAATTATATGCCTCATCTATATGCTTAATATTCAATATATACATTTATGAAACTAACATTTCTGTTACACCACTAACTTTTAAGTAAGTGAATATAGCTTCGACATATAGTTGATTACATTGAACATATACATCGATATTTCTACATCGGCCTCGAAAATTATACTAGGGTTTTGTAGTTTAATTCAGCTAACTAGAAACTGGATATATCTATCTGATGTAGTCAATTATATGCCTCATCTATATCCTTAATATTCAATATATCTAGTTTTGAAACTAACAATTCTGTTACACCACTAACTTTTAAGTAAGTAGATATAGTTATGTCATATAGTTGATTATATTTAACATATACATCGATATTTCTATATAAGCCTTGGAAATTATACTAGGGTTTTGTAGTTTGTATTCGCCTAGCTAGAAACTAGATATAGCTCTCTAATGTACTCAATTATATGGCTCATCTATATATTTAATATTCAATATATCCAAACTAGAAATAGATCTCTTATGTAGATAATTATATTCCTCATCCAACTATAAAAATAGACAACTATATCTATCAATATATCCAAAACTGGATATAGGTCTCTGATGTAGTCAATTATATTCCTCATCCAACTATAAATATAGACAATTATATCTATCATATATATGGCTTTCAAAGCTCATATATATACTTAATATTCAATATATCCAAAACTGGATATACGCCTCTGATGTAGTTATTTATATTCTTCATATAACTATAAATATAGACAAATATATCTATCGTATATATGACTTTCAAAGGCAACTATACCTACCATATATAAAACCTCGCAATATATTATTGATTAGCTCCGTCATCATAAAAAACATGTATTTAGGCCAAATCTCAATCGTTATATTGGGCCTAAATACACAGGTCTCACGTAGTTTAATTCACATAACTAGAAACTAGATACATCTCTATGATGTAGTCAATTACATACCTCATCTATATACTTACTATTCAATATATCCAGTTTTGAAACTAACATTTCTGTTACAAACTAAATTTTACGTAAGTGGATATAGTTACATCACATAGTTGATTATGTATAACATATACATCGATATTTCTACATAGGTCTTGGAAATTATACTAGGGATTTGTAGTTTGTATTCAGCTGACTAGAAACTGGATATATCTCTCTAATGAAGTCAATTATATGGCTCATCTTTATACTTAATATTCAATATATCCAAAACTGGATATAGGTCTTTGATGTAGTCAATTGTATTTCTCATCCAACTATAAATATAGACAACTATATCAATTATATATACGGCTTTCCAAAGCCAACTATATCTATCATATATAAAACCTCGCAAAATATATTATTGATTATCTCCGTCATCATAAAAAAAATGTATTTAGGCCCAATACCAATAGTTATATTGAGCCTAAATACACCGGTCTCATGTAGTTTAATTTAGTTAACTAGAAACTAGATATATCTCTATGATGTAGTCAATTGTATTCCTCATCTATATACTTAATATTCAATATATTTAATTTTGAAACTAACATTTCTGTTACACAACTAACTTTTAAGTAAGTGGATATAGTTACATTATATTGTTGATTATATTTAACATAAACATCGATTTTTCTACGTAGGCCTTGGAAATTAGTTTTGTAGTTTGTATTCAGCTAACTAGAAACTGGATATAGGTTTCTAATATAGTCAATTTCATGGCTCATTATATACTTAATATTCAATATATCCAAAACTGGATATAGGTCTCTGATGTAGGTAATTATATTTCTCATCCAACTATTAATAATAACTTAACACAAAACACTATTTCTTTAATTCAGATCAAAATTCGAACCGCCATTGCAGAAAACACGAAGTTTCGAACCGCCATTGCAGTTTTTTCTCACAATTACCATATTTTCTCATTTGATTTCAAATTAAAACCATGGCGAATCTCGCTCTATCTCATAGGATGTTCTGTACGAGTGGTGAACCCGACGACAAGAGGAAAATCAACATCTATTTCGCCTTGAAATATCTGGGCACTGTGAAGGAGGCGTTGAAGAAGCACGAGAAAGAATGGTCACAGTTTTGTAATTCTCAGTTCTGGTATCTTCTTGAGCACGGTCGTGAAGTAGCTTTTTTGGTCCAGTTCGCTCATTACATGCTATCGCGCCAGTTAGTGACGGCGAAGAAGCACGAGATTTGGATGGATTTCGGTGGAGCGCCTATAAGTTTCTCAATTTAGGAGTTCTCGGATGCCACGGGCATATATTGTTGTAAAATTCCGGAGATTCCTCAGAATTTGGACGAAGATGATACTACAAATTGAGATGCTTTGATCTGAAAGAATGTAAAAGAGATTGATGATACCTGGATAGTAAAGAAGTTGGAATCCAAGAAGTTCGATGACCCTTAGAAAAGACTGTAGGTTTGTTGCTTGCTCCTTGTCGATGCTGTTATATATCCCTAATAAAACCCCATATAATTCATTTATATATTTACTATACTACTCAATCACATAGTCACTATGTATGCAATTATTGACATGAATAAAGCCAGAAAGATTTCTAGACTGCATGTTCAACTCGTTAGTGATGTCAAGAAATTCTTTGATTATCCGTGGGGAAGAGAGGCATTCGCACTGGCAATGAGAAGTATTAAAGCAAGAGGGGCTAAGGGTTTGTGCCAGATGATTCTTGCTATACATGGGTTCTCTCATGGAATGCAACTAGCAATGCTGAAATGCATTCTAAAAATCCAAACTCATGCCTTCGTTGTGCCCAGAGGAAAGCAGAAGAAAGAAGATTCCTCGGACGAGGAGGTTGATGATAACACCGAGATGAAGGCATCAATCATATCAATGTCTAAAATCCGCAAATTGTGCCTAAAGGGGAAGGTAATCCGGCTTTGAAAACCATAAATGAGAATGCCTCTCTTCCCTACGGATAATCAAGGAATTTCTTGACATCACTAACGAGTTGAACATGCAGTCTAGAATTCTTTCTGGCTTTATTCCTGTCAATAATTGTATACATAGTGACTATGTGATTGAGTAATATAGTAAATATATAAATAAATTATATGGGTTTTTACGAGGGACATAGAACAGCATCGACAAAGAGCAAGCAACAAAGCTGCAGTCTTTTCTAAGGGTCATCAAACTTCTTAGATTCCAACTTCTTTACTATCCAAGTATCATCAATCTCCTTTACATCATCTCCGATCAAATCATCCTAATTTGTAGTGTCATCTTCGTCCAAATTCTGAGGAATCTTAGAATTTTAGAACAATATAGGCCCGTAGCAGCCGAGAACTCCTGAGTTGAGAATCTTATAGGCGCTCCACCGAAATTCAACCAAATCTCGTGCTTCTTCGCGGTCACTAACTGGAGCATAGCAAGTAATGAGCGAATTGGACCCAAAAAGCTACTTCACGACCGTGCTCAAGCAGATACCGGTACTGAGAGTTACAAAGTTATGACCATTCTTTCTCGTGCTTCTTCAACGCCTTCTTCAACGCCTCTTGTCGTCTGGTTCACCACTCGTACAGAACATCCTATGAGGTAAAGCGAGATTTGCCATGGTTTTAATTTGAAATCAGATGAGAAAATATGGGAATTGTGAGAAAAAACTGCAATGGCGGTTTGGAACTTTGTGTTTTCTGCAATGGTGGTTCGGATTTTGGTCTGAAATGAAGAAATAGTGTTTTGTGTTAAGTTATTATTAATAGTTGGATGAGAAATATAATTGACTAGATCAGAGATTTATATCCAGTTTTGGATATATTGAATATTAAGTATATAGATGAACCATTTAATTGACTATATTAGAGAGGTATATCCGGTTTCTAGTTAGCTGAATACAAACTACAAAACCCTATTATAATTTCCAAGGCCTATGTAAAAATATCGATGTATATGTTAAATATAATCAACTATATGACGTAACTATATCCACTTAATTAAAAGTTAGTATTTTTCCAAGGCCTATGTAGAAATATCGATGTATATGTTTAACATAATCAACTATATGACATAACTATATCCACTTACTTAAAAGTTAGTGGTGTAACAGAAATGTTAGTTTCAGAACTGGATATATTGAATATAATATATATAGATGAGACATATAGTTGACTGCATCAGAGAGATATATTCAGTTTCTTTTAATGTGATACCGATAAACTGAATATATCTCTCTGATTGAAAAAGATATACTCGTTTTTGGTTCAATGTGATACTAGTGAACGTATTTTATTCAGATACCTTATAATGATGAAACCTGTTTTATTCTTTTTTTTTCTTAAAATATGTCATCGATGGTAAACTTTAAATTGAACATGCATTTTACATAATCTTATACGAGCAAACCGTACATTCCACTTCTGAGGAATGACAACAAAGTCATTTCTCAACTATTATATAATATGGAAATAAAAAAAGGAAAATGAAAGAAATAACTATTATCATATTCACAAACAACAAATAGAAAAATACATCACCAATATGGGAAATTATCATATTCATATATATATATATATATATATATATAACGCTATAACTATCAATATCGAGACACGTATCAATGAAAAAAAAGCAACAAAAATAACATGCATTTCACGTATCCACATCATCATCAAACAACATACATTCGTTTTCTACACTCGTTTTTATTCAAGTTTTTATTATTGATAAATATATATAAATAAGACATACACTTAATACTCATATTTATGTTATTCATGAAATATGTAACATATAGGAATGTTCGGTTTAACTTTAAACTAAATAACTATCCAAATATATTCGTTTACGAATAAGACACAAACTTGTCCTTACTTTAGCAATCCAGATTGATTTTTAAGAAAATCAGTTGACATTTTTGTTTAGGACTAGCAAAAGTTGTAATCCGGTTCAACAACAATTCCCAATATGCAACGGTTTAAGTTAACCGGTTAAAAATTAAATCAAATTAGTACCAAACCAAACAAAAATTCTAAGTCTCTATTAAATTAATTTGGTATTTTGTCAATTAAATTAATTAGACGGATTAAATAACTAAACAACACCAAAATCTAATAATTTCATAACACCACAATTCAATCCACAATCACATGATTTCTGTTAAATCAACGATCCCAACTCTCGGTAGTACGATTAATTAGTATTAACTAAATCCTTTCGGTTTTGAGATTAAACCATACGAATTTACAAACACGTTACCACATTTCCAAGGCCATAGATCAACTCGCGTGCTCACGTGATTGAGTTCGATTTAATGGGCTTTAATTACACAATGATTTCTGGTTTAGTTTGGTTTAGGCTCACGGTTTAAATATCAACAAAAGCAACACACAAACAACACGAGAGGTCAGATGAGCCGATACCTTTCTCGGCACCTTTTCTTCACGGTCCTGCTCGGCGGTTCGAACCGTGAAGTAGACACCACGTCAGCACAGATCTACAGCGGTTCAAGCCATGGTGGTTAGTTTGGTTAAACAATCAATCAAAATAGAGGCATAAAACTCAAAATTTAGTTCACGGGTTTTACCACTAAGGTGAAGAAAAAGCATTCAGCGGCTCAGGTAATTTTGTGCCACTACAAGAAAAATCAACATTGATAGCAGTAGAAGATAGCACATTTTCCTAAACTGCTATAAAATATGAGGTCGTAATTTTGGTTACTTTATAATAGCACCGGATAAACGCTAAGACCCCAAATCCTTTAGCGGGAAAAAAAAATGACCTATTCCGCCAACACTTAGCCAAAATAATTCACTTTTCCCTCTGTTCTCGAGAAAACATAAACTTTTCCCTCTGTTCACTCTCTTTAGTAACAAAACCTAAACTTCTCAGATCCACGATTTCTCTCTAATCCTAGCCAATTTGCATACCAAAATCGATTCCAAGCTTGTCGCCGGCCATAAATTTCTGTTCCTCCGCAGTCACATTCTCCAGTGCCGCCGCAGAGACATTCTCTAGCTCAAATCGAAGGCATCTCTTTCTTCCCAACTCTAACTACATTCTTTCTCTCATTTCAATGTGATTTCGACTTGTTTAGATTAGATTGCAGTCCTTGAAATTATCGATTTCGCTCATTATATGCTCGATTCCAAGCTTGAAATTATCGATTTCTATATGGTTTTTTTTTAATTTCTCTCTGCGATTTTAGGGTTCATATGCTTTGAACTGTTTTTAATTGAACTGTATTCGCGATTAAGCTCAAATCCAAGCCATGTTTCAAATCTAGGGTTTATATTAATCGATCTGTTTTCTATTAAGTGCTATCCTTTTGCATGTCTGTGAATGAGAATTAGTTAACTGTGCTCGTGCTTTAGTTTATAGTTTTGAGCTTCGCCTGATGAAGAAACGAGAATAGTGTTTTGGTTTTGAAAGTTTTAATCGATTTTATTGTTAAATAGGATACTGACTAAACTAATTTTATTGTTTTGCAAGTGTTGGTGATTGCATTATTGGGGAACTGAAGCTTATCTTGTTGTTGTAATCACTCACAGGTTAGTCCTAAACTAATTTTGTAGTTTTTCTTTCTCTTACTATTGTTTTGGTTTGTTCTTCAACTTTTTTTTGTTATTTATAATGTGTTTGAGTTATATTTGAGTTTGAGTTATACATAGTGTAATGTTTGAAATGTGTGAAGAGTTAAACTTAGTGTAGTGCTTTAAGTATCTGAACTTGAGATGATAATTGTCAGATATTATGTGTTTGTGTTTTTGTCCGTTTGTGTTGTTGTCTTTGTGTTAATATAATGTATTATCTTGACTACAGTTAGATGTTTGAGTTTCAGATTGTGTTAATGTCTTATCTAGAACTTGAGATGGTATCTTATGGTTGAATTGTTGTTCTAAAGGTCTTACTTACGCTTAGTACATATAATGTTGGACAAGTCATGGGTCCATCTCTGCAGGCAAGGAATTAAAATACTTTAAGAGTTTAAATGTTGGACAACTCTTAAATTACTTTAAGAGTTTTTTTTTTTCCCTTCTATTCTTAAGAGTTGATCCTGCTTATGAGAGAGGTGCTCGGAAATTTGTTCGAGCTGTGACTGAGGCTTTAGGAGACATTGATAAGCTAGTTTGTCCATGCATCGACTGCCGTAATATTGATCGTCACTCGGGCAGTGATGTGGTTGATCATCTTGTAACAAGAGGAATGGATGAGGCATACAAGCGGCGGAGTGATTGGTATCATCATGGAGAAGTGAGCTCTGGGGCTGAAGTAGAAAGCAAAGTACGTAAACCACTGGAATGAGGAGATATTTGACTTATATAAAGCTGCTGAATATTTAGATGAAGAGTTAGCTAGTAAAGGTGACTTAGGTGAGATTGTAGAGGGTGACTTAGTTGAGATAGCTGAAGGTGAAGACAAGAGAGAACATGAGTTCCTTTCAAAGCTAGCAGATGCGGAGACACCATTGTATCCAAGCTGTGCGAACCATAGCAAGCTATCAGCTATTGTGGAGCTGTTTAGAATTAAGACAAAAAATGGCTGGTCTGACAAGAGCTTCAATGAACTGCTTGAGACATTGCCAAAAATGTTACCCAAGGAGAATGTGCTTCACACATCATTGTATGATGTGAAGAAGTTTTTGAAGAGCTTTGATATGGGATATGAGAAGATCCATGCGTGTGTAAATGATTGCTGCCTATTCAGAAAGAAGTACAAGAAGCTCGATAATTGTCCAAAATGCAAGGCTTCAAGGTGGAAGGTTAACATGCACACTGGTGAAGTAAAGAAAGGTGTCCCACAGAAAGTATTGAGATACTTTCCAATAATCCCACGGCTTAAGAGAATGTTCAGAACTGTGGAAATGGCGAAGGACTTAAGGTGGCATTTTAGTAACAAGAGCAGCGATGGAAAACTCCGTCATCCTGTAGATTCTGTTACTTGGAAAAAAATGGATGACAAATACCCTTCCTTTGCAGCTGAAGAAAGGAACATCCGGCTTGGACTTTCCACAGATGGATTTAATCCGTTCAACATGAAGAATACTAGGTATAGTTGTTGGCCTGTTCTGTTAGTTAATTATAATCTGCCTCCTCACTTATGTATGAAGAAGGAGAACATCATGCTTACCTTGTTGATTCCTGGACCACAACAGCCTGGTAATAGTATTAATGTTTACTTAGAACCTCTAATAGAAGATTTAAACCATCTGTGGAAGAAGGGAGAGTTGACTTATGATGCCTTTAGTAAAAATATTTTTACTCTTAAGGCAATGCTTCTTTGGACTATTAGTGATTTTCCTGCTTATGGAAACCTTGCAGGCTGCAAAGTTAAGGGTAAAATGGGATGTCCTATATGTGGGAAAAACACAGATAGTATGTGGCTGAAATTTAGCAGAAAGCATGTTTTTATGTGTCATAGAAAGGGATTAGCACCAACACATAGTTATCAGGATAAGAAGGCATGGTTTGATGGGAAAGCTGAACATGGGAGAAAGGCTAGAATATTAACTGGTCGTGAAATTTCCCAAAATCTGAGAAACTTCATAAACGATTTTGGTAATGCTAAAGAATCTGGAAGGAAGAGAAAAAGGACTGAATATCTTGACTCAGGATCTGATATTGATGATGAATCCAGTGAATCAGAAGAAGAGGAAGAAGTAGAAGTTGACGAGGAAGAATTATCAAGATGGAAGAAAATATCCATTTTGTTCAAGCTGGAGTATTGGGAGGTATGTTTAATTGATGAACTTTCAGAATTAATCAATTATACTATGGGTTTAAGTTTGATTTTGTTGTATTTGCTAGGATCTCCCGGTGAGGCATAATTTGGATGTAATGCATGTAGAGAGAAATGTGGCTGCAAGCATTGTCTCTACATTGTTGCATTGTGGAAAATCAAAGGATGGTCTTAATGCTCGTAAAGATTTGCAAGAACTTGGGATAAGAAAGGATTTACATCCTAGTACACAAGGAAAGAGAACTTACCTTCCAGCAGCTCCTTGGTCTTTATCAAAGAAAGAGAAATTTTTTTTCTGCAAGCGGCTTTTTGATTTTAAAGGTCCAGATGGATATTGCTCTAATATATCAAGGGGTGTATCATTAGAGGAGTGTAAGATAACAGGTCTCAAATCACATGATTATCATGTATTGATGCAACAGCTACTCCCAGTTGCACTTAGAGGATTGTTACCAAAAGGACCTAGGACAGCAATCTTTCGCTTATGCGCATTCTTCAACATGTTGTGTCAGCGAGTTATTGACAGGGAGCAGATTTCAGTAATGGAAGCTGAAATAGTTGAAACTCTCTGTATGTTTGAAAGATTTTTCCCACCCAGCTTCTTTGATATCATGGTACACTTGACAGTTCATCTAGGAAGGGAAGCTCGTCTTGGAGGACCAGTCCATTTTAGATGGATGTACCCATTTGAAAGGTATAGCTTGTGTTATATACTTCAGCCTTTTTATTCTTGAAAACACAAAATCTGTTTCATTACTAATGTTTATATTTAATACTTTGCAGGTACATGAAAGTTCTGAAAGACTTTGTTAGAAATCCTGCAAGACCGGAAGGTTGTATCGCAGAGTCTTACCTTGCAGAAGAATGTGTGCAGTTTTGTAGTGATTTTCTGAAAAAGACAACTAGTGTAGAAGAAAAACTGGATAGAAATACAGAGTATGAGAATATCTCTATTCTAGAAGGTCGGCCTATATCTGCAGGCACTTCATTTACTCTCACTGAAATGGAGAAAAATATAGCACATCTTGCTGTCATTCAGAATATTGCTGCCTTGGATCCTTATGTGGAGTAAGTTTCTGTAATATCTTCTTACTCCATTTGTTTCTTTGGTATCCGCTGAGACTAATTGTTCATTTTTTTTTGTTTTTCAAGCATGCACCTACAATATCTACAAGACTCATATCCAAGATGTAGACGTGAAGCATCACTGTTGTGGACTATGCATGCTCAGAAATTTGCTACTTGGTTAAAAGAGCAGGCAAGTAATAATATATCTGAATGGTATGCATTCATGATTCTGGTTTTTATATCCTTTTGTTTCTGACTGTTCTTTGTTTTTTTTACATTTGGTAGATACCAATACTTTCAAATGGACATGAAGATACTCTTAAGTGGTTGGCTTATGGTCCTCGGTGTATTGCTAGGTCTTATACAGGGTATATAGTTAATGGTCAACGGTTTCACACAAGCTCACTTCAAAGGAAAAGTCAGAATAGTGGGGTTTATTATGAGGCTACTGCTATGTGTAGATCTAGTGCTAAAGATACTTCACAAGTGTTTGATTTGGTATCATACTATGGGAGAGTCACTGATATCATACTACTTGATTACAATGTGTTTTATGTACCTCTATTCCGATGTCAATGGGCAGTAAGAGGTAATGGAGTTAAGGTCGAAGATGGTTTCACGCTTGTTAACTTGAATCAAAGTCAAGTCAGCTTCTTGAGGGATCCATACATATTAGCCTCTCAGGCAAAACAAGTGTTTTATTCAAGAGAAGATGATTCATCAAGTTGGTATGTTGTCATGAAAGGTTCTTCAAGAAGATACAGTAAGGAAGATGTTGAAGACGGAAATGCAGATATTGGACCATTGCCATCAGATGTTGACATGGATCTTGAGATGGATGAAGCTGAAAATGCTAGAACTGATTGTGAAGGCATATATGTGTCAAATGTAGCTTCTTGTTCATTTTCAGCTTGTCTTGTTTATACTCTGTCTGGTGTCTGCCTAGTCTTTATTATACATCACTGTCATTTAGATTTTCTGTTAAATGTATTTTATCAGCATCAACATGTTCTAATTTATTGTTCTTACATGCAGGTGAACTGATATGGGGCGTCCAAAGAAGAAGGGTGGACAAAAAAAGAAAAGTAAGGCTGCAAAAGACACTGATGAACCAGAATTTATATGTACTGTGGAACCACAGACTGAGGCAGCTGAAGTACAAGTAGAACAAGAGACTGAAGCTGCTGAAGTACAAGAAGAAGAGCATAGATCAGAAGAACACCAGACTGAAGCAGCTGAAGTGACTGCTAACAATGAGGAAGAACCTGAAGGTGAGTTTGAGTTGACAGATGAGAATGAGCGTCCAGCTAAGCGCAAGAGACATAGAGGACCAACAAAGATGAAAAACATCGCAAAGGATCCAACTGTTCGAGAAAGAGTTGACTACACTATCATGGGAGATCCTTATGGTCCGGGATCAGTGAAGTTGTCATCTTATGTAGGTCCATTGGTACGGGAACATGTACCAATCACAATTGATACTTGGAAGAATGTTAGCGAAGAAATCAAAACTGTTCTCTGGAAATCTATTCAGGTAATGTTTTCTATCCAATTTGAGCATTTCTTTTTTCCATAACTTAAGAGCAGTTTAAGTTTTTTACATGTTTTCTTGGCAAGTGAATGCAGGCAAAATTTGAGCTGGATGAAGAGTTTCAAAAGGTTGCTGTGCTAAAGCAAATGGGAAATTTGTGGAGATCATACAAATCCCGCATAGTGAGGGACATTAATGGGGCTACTAATAACCAACAGAGGATGAATCTGAGACCAAATAATATTAATCCAGCTGATTGGCGGAAATTTGTGAAAATCAAAACAAGTGCAAGCTTTAAGGTATTGATTTCAACTGTTATGTTTATTTGTTGGTCTGTTGGTGATTAACATGTTTAATTATCAGGTTGTGAGTGATAAATATAAAGAAAGGAGAAGGAAACAGATTCCTCACACTACTAGTCGTAAAGGAATGGTCAGACTAGCAGAGGATATGGTAAGCATATTTCTACTTGTAAGTTTACAGTTATATACCATATACCCTTAATGATATTTTACCTTTTTTCCAGAAAATTGAAAGTGGAGATCCATCAGAAGTGACTAGGCTGAAGGTGTGGGTCAAGTCGCGTACCAAAAAAGATGGTACGCCAGTGAATACGAATGCAGCTGAGAAGATTGTAAGTTGCAAATTAGTCACAGAATGTGTATTTGAATTTGGTTCTCTTACATGTTAGACTCAGAATCTGTATTTTTTGTTTCCAAAAAAAGGCAGCTGAGCTGGTTGGTAGTGATGCTCCAACATTGACAACAAATCCAGAAGAAGATCACCTCTCCCAACTTCTAGGACCTGACAATCCTGGTCGGCTCAGGGCAATGGGTAGAGGCATGAGTAAGACAAAATTAGCTTGTTTCCAAATAAAGACCAAATGTATGACTGACATGCAAGAGAAGCAAGTTCAATTGGTTAAGAAGGTCAATGAATTACAAGAGGAATTACTGAAAATCAAGAATCAGGTTAGATACTTTATTAGTTCTCAAATTATACATTTAGTTGCTGAGTTATTACATAGATTTTGACTAGTTTTAAATATTACAGAGACAAGAAGCTGAAATAGGTGAAAACTCAGCTGCTAGAGTAAGTTAGATCACATCAATGTCTGATATCAGTGATTCCTTATTTTTATTTTATAATTGACATTTTTCAAATCAATATTTTGTAGAGTGTGAACAAATTTTGTAGAGTGTGAACAAAAGAGCACTCCCAAAGTGTGTGTTGTATGATTGGTCTGATTCTGATGAAAACATTGCTGAGGGGCGAATTCTTTCTTCTGATCCTGATGACTTGGTGAATAACTGTCGCCTAGGCCCTACAGATCTTAAAGTGTTGGTAGAAACTGCTACCAAACCAGATGCATTCCTTTGGAGACCAGCAAGTAACATGTTCACTGTTGAGGAAGCTGTTGGACAAATAATTGCTTGGCCTGCCTCTAAGTGTGTTCTAGTTGACAAGGACATCCAAATAGAAGATATTGCGCCTCTGGTAAATTTTAGTTTTCAGCTAGAACCATATTACTTGATAGATAGAATCATGATCAATATACTGATTCAATTTCTGGTTTGAAACCATTTGATAGGGTCTTAGGACAAATTCTCTGAACAAATGCAAACTACTAGATTTGTCTAGCGATGAAGTGATTGTTGCTGAAGGTCGTTGGCAGACACAAGAACGAAGCGCATTGGTTAATGGACTCCCTCTCGGACCAAAGGCAGTTAAAGTATTTGTGGATCAAGTCCATCAGCCTGAAACGTTTATATGGAGGCCTACCATGGAAATGACATACCTTGAGGACTGTGTTATGGCTTTTGTATCTTGGCCTGTCAGTAAAGTTGTTTTTGAAAATTCAACAACAGGTCACAAATCTCCTCTTCAGAATTCTGCAGCAACTGTATCAGGTGCAAAATCTGCAACATTAGGCCCTAAATCTGCAGCAGGTACAGGTTCTGAATCTCCTATTGAGGATGCAACAGGTACAAGCTCTCCAATGAAGAAAACTCTTCCAGATTCACAGTCTCCTCTTCGAAAATCTCAGGTAGATGTTTTGGATATGTTATTAAGTTCTTATGCTTAGTCTTCTGACTGTTGGTTTATTTATATTGGCAGCGTATTAGTAATCAAGTTGTTTCAAAGGAGAATAAGAAGTGCAAGCTGATGGATATTACCGGAAAGAAGCGGGTTGTTGCTGAAGGACGATGGGTTTCAAATGACCCAGATATGAAGGTCCATTTTGTTCCCTTGGGTTCTAATGGAGTTAAGGTGTGGGTAGATATCGTGAAGGTAAGTGATGCAGCAGTTTGGAGGCCATCTGATGAAATTGTGAGTTTGGAAGACGCATTTGGCACAACTCTTGCATGGCCAGAGGACAAGGTGATCATGTGTTAAACTTCTGCTTGGACATGAGACTTGGTTTAATTTAGTATTCTGTGTTTAGTATTCAATGCTGCTTTTGGTACAACTTCTCCTTGGACATGAGACTTTTTTTTTGTATTCTGTGTAATATATGGATGTTGGATTGTTATCAATGGGGATTGTCAGTACTTTTATAAAACACGGTTGTGTCATGAAAACAAGTACAATAGCATCCAAAAAAAAAATTAAAATCAGTGTCATGTAACATTTTAGTAATGCTATGGTAAAATCATCTATCGTAGCTGTCAAACTGAGTAATTACATAAATTTTACAAACTAAATAGGCGCTATGATATAATATATTACAGCATAACATACAGCTATAATAAATTAAATTAACTCTGTTCAATATAGCTATGGTAGCGCTACATAACATAGCATGAATAATAACTTATTACATAATTAAAAACAAAATTTAACGAATTAAAACAAAGCGTTTTACTAGAGCTATGGTAGAAGTCTCTAACATAGCATACAAAAAACACGCTATTGTATGTGTGGCACCTACCATAACTAGGGCAGAAACAGCGTTTATGAAAACGCTATCAATGACATATTATAGCGTTTCTCTCGTGATAACAATGTTGATTTTTCTTGTAGTGTGCCATACTTATACACACACGGAAAAATAGGATTCCGCTTTGGTTTAACTTATCAACGGGCTCGGTTTGGACCTCAATATTATAGGATCTGAATATTAATTTAACTGGAACACAATCTAATATTTATACAGTAACTAACATGTAATGAAATAAAACAATACCAAAAAGATGATTGTCGAAAACTTTGATGATCTCTCCTTAACTCAAAAATCGGCCAGTAGTTGATAGAATTAAGGTTTAGCTTACAAGGTCTATGGGCCCTTGTGTCTCAGCAAAACCTAGGTTATGAGGAGAGGAACCCATGAACAGTGCCGGCTCAGATGGGTGGGCGGGCGGTGCGACGGCCAGGGGTCCAATCCCGTAGTCCAATAATTAAGGGGCCCATTTTCTAAAATATTTTTTAAAAATATTAAAAATTTAGATTATAACACAAAAATAAAATTTAGAAAGGTCTATAAAATTATTTATTTATTGTTTTTAGTATTAGTAATTAATATTTTTAACAAAAATAGCATAGAAAATTTTTTTACAGCAAAGAAACATTAAAAAAAAATTTCTAAAAGTCCAAAAATTTTTTTTGCCCTAGGGCCCATAAAAATATTGAGCCGGCACTGCCCATGAACACTTATAATACCAACACTATCTCCTCTATCTTACCGATGTGGGACCTTATCAGTAGTACGACGGTTTGATGACGATTAGATCCCATGATAAAACTGTTTGATTTGATGAAGATTAGAGTCTCATAATAAAACTGTTTTTTTTTTTGATTCGCAACATTCAAAATCAAAAGTCGAATTTGATTCGCAACACAAACTAGAGAAGAAGAGAAAAAAGACGGATCTTGATGTCTATGATCGATGATGAGAATGAGAAAATGACTTGACTTATATAGTCAAGCTCCACGTCTATGTATTTATGAGGACATCTCACCTTAAAAGACAAACTTATGAGAGTTTGATTTTCACGTTAAAGTCAGAAAACGTTTTTGTCGTAATTGATTTTGTGCTGTTACAAAACTCCATCAATAAGGTAGATATTTTTATTATTTAACCATTAATTTTAATCAAAATGAGTTTGTGAAAATAGAATAAATATATGGGTTGTATGTTCATTTTCCAAATTTCAAATTTCAAAACCAACCTATGTATGTTTAAATTTATCTTCTAACTTCCAAAATATACAATTTGACTTTAAGTCAAAATTCCAAGCTATTCAAGTTAGTTATTTTGGACCTCAATTTTTCATTCAAATAAACTTTGTTCTGGACATTCCAATACACTATCATATAGTGCTTGCAACAACAATTTTATCGTGCCCAAGAACCAGTTACTTTGATGAACGTTTTCACCCAAAAATTCATGGGAAAAATGGTCACAACCACTTTGCCTTTATGTTTTTCTTCCTCGAGATTTATCAGATTACTCCTAGCTTTGCCATACCAAAATTCCATCGGTCCAAAATCTCACGCCGGTTGCTCATCCTGACTGAAAAGAAGGTGTTGTTACTTGTTAGTGGTGACAAGGGTGTTATGGTTCTGCAAAAATGTATCGTATTACTCATAAATAGACTAATGAATTGTTGCATGGAAGAGTCCAATCCATTCATTGTATAGAGCTTTGCTTTGCCATTCGTATGAAGTGATGAAACAGAGTCTCTGAAGGACGAACAGAGGTGTGTCTGAAGGAGTACAGAGGAGGCGGGAAAAGCTAATGGGTTCGTGGTGACGTGGCACATTGGAGTTGGTAACAGTGAGCATGCTGCGGTTGGTCAAGCAGGCGAAACTGTCAGAAGAAAAAGGTGTCCCAAAAGTCAAACAAGTTGTGTTGTGACTTGAGTGTGACTTGAAGCTTCCAAGTGTCCCCTGGATAAAGAGGAGAGCTTGGAATCTGAAGACTCTATATAAGGAGAAGGTGTTCTTGCTTATTAGGGTTAGCACTTTTAGAAGAGAAAAAGTGTTTATCTTTGTGAACGAATTTGTTCTTTGTGGGAATCACTGGTGAGTGAACAAAGAGTGATCGCAGCTGTTGTTGTGTGTGAGATGGGTAGATTAGGATCGTTTCAGGGTCAAGTCGCCTGTAGGTGATGTTGTGTAACACTGATCAAACAATCTATGTTAGATTGATTTGAAGAGATTTCTAATAAAGGTTAGTTTTTGTAATTTGTCTCTGGTTTAGTATCTGTGCTAGTATTCTGTTTCTTTAATTTGTAGCAGAGCAGGAAACCGATTTGAGAGATTGTGTCTCTAAACAGGTTAGATCCTGAAGATGGAACCAACTACTGATTATGTTGGTACAAGCAAGAATATTGTGCTTGATACTAAGAGATATGGTTATTGGAAAGTTCGTATGCAACAAATTATCAGGGGTCAAGGAGAAGATGCTTGGACTGCAGTTGAAGATGGGTAGGAATCTCCATCCTTATTGACTGAAGCCGGGATAAGGATTCCAAAACCAGAAGACAGATGGACAGATGAAGAAAAGAGTCTGTCAAAATTCAATGCTAGAGCCATGAATGCTATTTTTGGTTCTGTTGATGAAGATGAGTTCAAACTCATTCAAGGGTGCAAATCTGCGAAGCAAGCGTGGGATATTCTTCAACAGTCTCATGAAGGAACCACAGGTGTGAAAAGAACAAGGCTAGATCAGCTAGCAACTCAGTTTGAATATCTAAAGATGGAACCTGATGAAACCATTGTGAAGTTTAGCTCGAAGATAAGTGCTATAGCCAATGAAGCTGAGACTCTTGGAAAAACGTACAAAGAACAGAAGCTGGTGAAGAAGCTTCTCAGGTGTCTTCCTACAAAGTTTGCTGCTCACAAAGCTGTTATGAGAGTTGCAGGTAATACTGACACAATGAAATTTGCTGATCTTGTTGGTATTTTGAAGTCTGCAGAAATGGAAGTAAATGAGGACAAGACCAAAGGGTCAAAATCCGTTGCCTTCCAAGCTGAACAAGAAGTGGATCAGTTTCAAAACATCAAGGACAGTCTAGCCCTGCTTGCTAGAAACTTTGGAAAAGCCCTGAAGAGAGTAGAAAGAGGTCAGAATAGAGATGGAGCTCGTTGGAACAGTAATGAGGGTGACAAATCTGGTGGAAGATTCTTCAAAGCTGAAAAGGATAACTCAGGTAAGAAAAAGGAAATTCAATGTTATGAATGTGGAGGAAATGGTCATATCAAACCAGAGTGTCCAGTCACCAAGAGGAAATATCTTAGGTGTCTTGAATGCAAAGGAATGGGTCACACTAAGTTTGAATGTCCAAATAAAAATAAATCAAAGGAGAAGTCCTTACTGTGCTTCAGCGACTCTGATTCTAATGATGAAGAAGAAGAAGATCTCTTAAACTTTGTGGCGTATGCGGCTCACTCAGATGTAACAAGGATTGTGGTTAAATCTGACTCTGAAAGTGAAGGTGAAACCACTACCAAGGATGACTACAGGGCTTTATATGACAGTTGGGTGCAACTGAGTGCTGACAAACTAAAACTAGTGCAAGAGAAGTTCACGTTAACTGCAGAACTGTCTGCAATACGTGAGACTGAACAGGTTAAAGAAAAATACATCTTTGGAACCAGTAAACCAATGGATGACTTGTTGAAGAAGCTTGATTTCCTTGAAGAAGGTTACCGTGAAGAAAAAGAGCGTGCAAAACTTCTTCAAAATGAACTCAACAACAAACACAAACATATCAGAATGCTGAACAAAAGATCTGATGATCTTGACAAGATTCTCATGATGGGAAGAACTGAATCTCAACATCGAGGTCTTGGTTTTCAAGGGTTCTCGAGAAACTCAAGTATGGTGCCAATCCTGCCTGTCAAGTTTGTCAGTGGAGGGATTACAAAAGAAGCTGCTCCTGTGTCCAAAATTGTCAACAATGGGTGCTCTACTTCATCAACCTTAAGAAAAGGTGATCGTGTTCTTCAGACTGAAAAAGAAAACTCTAAGCTACCACTTCCTCAAAGATCAAGAGTAAGAGGATTCAGAGGTTGTGGTCACTGTGGCAGAGAGGGTCATCAGAGGAATCAGTGTTACAGGTTCAAGGAAAGAGTTAGTCTGCTGTGGGGTCTGAACAAATGATATATGGAACCATCTAAGATTCTCAATGTGTGGGTTACTAAGGATGATCTGTATGGTGACTTGCTGATAGAACAATCGGACTTTAAACTGAGCAAGATGTATGACCTAGAAGACATGATTATCTCAAGGTGCAACCTAGAAGCTGATGTCGGGTCTCAAGGTGAAGTGTTGAAGTGTAGTTTGAGTCTGGTTAATCATGAGTCTGAGGAACTTCATGCTAATGTTGCCTACACTTCTGATAGTAGCTCAGACTCTACAAGTTGCTCAGAAGAGAAATCTTGGTATTTTGATAGTGGTTGTTCACGCCATATGACTGGAGATCAGTTTGCTCTAGATGACTTTTCAACCATTACTAGTGGAAAGATTACATTTGGTGATGGTGGAAAAGGGAACATTCGCGGGAAAGGTGTGCTTGAAAAGGATAATCAACCTCATTTGGCAAATGTATACTTTGTTGAAGGTCTCAAA